AAAACATTGGCTATTTGTATGAGATAGCATAGCAGGGCACGATGATGCTTTCCACCTGCAATATCAAGTTGTTCGAAGAAGGCGGCGATGTAAACATGCAACCTTTATATCTGCAATGCGCAACTATCCCAACATAGCTTCGCAACCGAAGAAGAAACATTTATTGGCAAAACTGAAAATGAAAGAAGCAGATGCGACGGTTTTATTTGAGTTTGCGCTTCTCGCTCATCGGCTAGACTTTGAGTGGATTCCCCACCTCCACTGTCGGAGCACGTCACTTTTGTCGACGATGCCAATCCTGACGCTAAGATGAAACTGAGGACCTTAAGATGTAAAGTGATATTTGAAGCGACTTATTCACAGCGACAATGTGCGACGTCCAACTGACCAGGAACATCAGTAATCCGAAACATCTCAAAGTATGGCTCACGAAACAGTCTATTATTCGCGACCTCGTAATTACGGCAAAGGCTCCCGTAGCTGGTGAGGTCTAGTGTTTATCAAATGTTCGGGACTTCTAACACCTATATTAGTCGGGTAAATGGCGATAAGAAGCATTCTGGTATTATCCGAAAATATGGCTTGAACATGTCGCGACAGGCTTTCAGAGAAAAAGCCGAAGACATTGGATTCAAGAAGGTAAGGCCTGCTCGGACCGGGTTGATTGTGGAGCCAAGACTGACGCTGTTGCTTTTTGACAGTATCGCTGAATACTGAGCTTGCGAAGTGTCACCAACCCAAGTCATAAGAAGCCATCTTCTGGATGGAGATAGAGTTTGCACATCAAGGAAAGGCGTCGAAGCGGTCTGGGACCAGCAAGGCTGAGGAGGATCGTGTAATGGTCATAACCATTCTTCGGCCAGATCAATCGAAGCTTTACATACTCGACTACCCTGGATTCCATAAAGCGCCAATTCAAGACTTGGATTGTGGGAAGGCACGATACGGTATCAGATTGACTTACAGTATTTGGATTACTTATAAATTGCTATCTTTAGTGTCTGTTCGTCTCCATTGAATTTGCCCGACGCAGACCCCTGCCTGCTGCCCGATCAAAGATAGATCATCCCGCAAGTGCTGTCCTTTTCCCTTCCAGAAAAGTGAGTGAATGTATTTTATTTAACGCAGACGGCTACGTGTGCCATCATTTTGATCCACGCAGCATCTGGCTCAATCACGAGCGCGTCAGCCAATCCTTCAATGGCGCGCTCGAGCTCTGGAGGAAGGCTCTCCACCTCACTATCCGACCATCCCTGCATCTTCAGCATGCCCTCCATCATTCCCACCAACGAATGGCTGAGCGCGGGGACTGATTCTGACGCGTACGAACTTGCTTGTTGGTGCACGTCCACGCTCTGGAAGCCTGCTTGCTCAAAGACATCCTTGATATGTGCGGAGTCGAGCCAAGCCGTGTCAAAGGGAAGGTGCGGCGGTGGGTGATGCGGTCGCACTTGGACGGCCGCCTTCTCTATTGCCTGCATGTAGCCCAGGTCTTTCCAGGAAGTGACGAATGCTCGACCTCCGGGCTTCAGGGTACGATATATGTGCTTCGCAGCCTTTTCAGCGTCTTTGAAGAATAAAAAGCCAAAATTCGTGAAAGAATAGTCGAAGCTGTCCGATGCGATACCATCAAGGTCCTCCGCGGCCAGAGTGAGAGCCGTGACATGATCGGCAGGGATGTCCCACTGCGTTCCTATTTTGCTAAGAAGGCACTCAACCATCGGGACGGCAGCATCAGTAACCGTGAACATGAGAGAATTCCTCACCGCGGCGTCCGAAACACCCGCGAGAAGCTCATCGATGACCACCCCTGTGCCGCATGCGTTGTCCAGAATTTTGGCATCTGCCTTGATGGGTGAAGCCAGCTGCACAAGGTGAGTTGCGACCCTCCGCGTCGCGCCTCCCGTTCCCTTCTCGTAGACCGAGGCAACTTTAGCAAAGTGCTCCTGAGCCGACGACATGACCAACAGCAGGACTGGCGTTTGCGAGATGATCTGTATAGATTGTTATGTTCGAGATTTAGGGTATCTTGGAGGTGTTCCCCTGCTCAGCTAGGTCTATTCTTATTCCCTTTCGATTCCGAGGACCTTAAATACGGTGGCGCCCACGTGCGCGGCTAAGCGGACATATTGACAGTTGTCTAGGCAGACACGTATTGCAAGAGCGGTACTTCTGGTATCTCTCGGCATTGCCGTACAATCTTCTACGAGATGTCACAGCATTTCCGAAAGAAGAGAGAATATTCTGCCATCAAAGGAGAGAGTGCTTAAAATGATGCTACCCTCCATACGATACCGTGCAGAAATACAAACTTTCCCACATCGAGAAGATCTACTTAGTATCTCCACCTAGAAAATGATCTGCTTTGGTGACAGTCGACAGCGCGACCCAGAGGTCTACGGGGGGATTTTTAGACGTCACCCACACTGGATCCGCGCTATCTGCATTCGAACAACCAGACAAAATATGTATCACGATAACTCAGAACGACTTCAGAAAGCATTTGTTGGCGTCCCCAGAGAAGTTTGGTATACCTTTGAGAATCCGCTAGAACTCTACAAGAGAGTTGATGACCTAAGAGCGCAGACGACAAGAAATCACCGAGGTATATGCTGGAGGAGCTGTTGAATAAAGTCTTCAAAGATCTCTGTCACGGCCTGCCAAGCCTTCCCTGGGATCCCTCACGTGATCCTGGGAAGTTAGCGCATGCCCTATCCCTACTTATCGCATGCTGGGAGCTGTCTTACGGGGGACGCCCCCAACACTGTAGAGAACTTCTGTGTTACACCTCCTGTAGCTGCCATGTATCAGTTGGCTGGCAAACTATATTCTTATATCTACCGGTGGCCTCTCTAGGAGCCCTAACACGCCGGCTCCGGATTGCAGCTACTAGTTTGAAAAGCCATCGGAGTCGACGAGTTTCCTCCTACTCTGGGAAACTTACAAAGCTTGTCAACCGCTCGTATCTATTTTTTGCTTTGTTCCAGGTCTTGTATGTCTTCAGCGGCTGGTAAGGGTTGGTCTTTCTTGGTTTTCTTCGCTACTCTATAGTCCACGGAAATTCTGCTCGATTCTGGCTTCCTCTTCGCTACCGTGTTGGCTGCTGTTTCGGACACGGTACTCCGCCATTTCGCCGGACATATTGGACGATACTGAACCTGTTGGATATGCTCGTGTCCGAGGTTATATAGCCCGCAACGTCGGCACACCAGTAGATCTTTGGGTAGGAACATTTAGGCCAGAGGGACGAAATCGATTGCTATTGCCACGCAATTCGTCACGTTCACGACCGCATAGTACTGTCGCGGGCGCGTAAACACTAGATCCCCAGGTCCAGCGATATGTATATCAAACCCAATACCGTTTATTCGTAGGTGTCTCTGGACCGATTAGTAATGTACTGTGGCGGACGAATTGATCACAACTGTTACATGGCCAGTTGTTTGTAATAAATTCTTTCAGACGTTTGGGAGGAACTCTTTTGGATCAAAATCCGGAATTTCCACCCACCGAGGACCAAATTGTACGACCCCAGGCCTGCATTCTCTCGGTGGAATGCGGTCCCAGAGCCCTGTAGGCCAGCGTGTAACCATGGTGTATTAGACCCTTGAGTCGGCAGTCTGCTTCCGCTGTGCTGGGCAAGGTTGTGCCACCGTTTCGAGTACTTTCCAGAGTGTTTGACAGGTCCCCTCCCCATCTTGTGGCTGCTCTGATACTTGTAGTGGGATTTTAGAAGCGGCATGTTGCGCCTCGGTTCTCATGACCTGGTTATAACGTCGACCAAAATCCAACGCCACGAAACTCTTCTCGGACATGCTGTAACTTTGTCTCCAGCCCATGTATCATCGATGCGAGTTCTTCCTTCCAGCTGTCCTGGTGATCTAGCGCACGCGTCGGCTCGTGCACGCCAAGGCGGCTACTGGCCTCTGCCGAAGCCAAGATGAGTAAAAACTGCTCGCCGCTCACCCTGGATCGGGATGAGGGTGACGCTGCCCTGTACTCACCCCGGCTCGCGCAAGTCGGGTGAGCGATCACCCGCGTCTCACCGGTCGTGGGGGCGAAAAGCCCTGGCGCCTTGGCGGCAGATGGTGCGACGCCGGCCCTGCCCACCCCGGTGGGACCTCGGGAGGCACCTACGATTGGCCCCCTCGTCCCTTAGCACAGCGTCCGTCGAGGCACATAGTCGTGCCTAGTGAAATGGAAAGAGTTGTCAAAAGCAGCATCGAGAGATGTACGCTTCTGGTCTAGGCCCCCTAAGCGCACCTTTCCCGGGCAAGTTATGAATAGGGTCTAAGTTAATTGGAGGGCTGATCTGTACAACCTTGCGCCCGCACGCACCAAAGACCACGATATAACCTGGATGCTCCCTCGCTGCTTTCGCCAACTTCCGATGTTCCCACGCCTTTCTCAGTACCTTCCGCCCTCGCCCTTCTGTTGACTATATTCATGTGTCGACCGCCGGCGTAGTCGTCGCTCCATGGAGTGGATGACGCGAACATTGTGCTGTACCGACTGACCTTTTGCCTGTCGCGCGCACTTACCACCGAAATTCTGCCTCCTTCCACCTTCACCGGGGGAGAGCGCGCGCGTGTCAGAGAGAAAGCGTGAGCCCATTTCCCGCTGATTTCAAGGACTCAGCGAGTCACAGAAACGTGGTTCAGCGCCCGAGCCAGTTCCAGAGGCGTTGAGCCTGCTGACTACGCAGCCTAGTCGAACAAAGAGGGAGTAAGACAGTCACGGCCAGGGAATTCGGGGCGGTTCTGAGTGCACCGCTTCCCATGTTAGAGGGACGGAGAGCCGGGGGCCGCATCATGTACAGTCCTGACGAGGGAGGTCAAAGATATATAATGACCCAGTCTCCCGGCTGTTTCTCGACCGGAATTCAACTTCCTACCTCTTTCTACATCTCACCACGGTTGAACCTATCTACTTTGCGCACACTGAGCCATCAGTCTCACCCACGAATTGTAATACGCTTCGAAGCATTTTGCCAAAGAATCATGTTAGAGACCGTGTATGCTCATGAATTATTACCGATCGTCAGCGTACATGGTTCCAGTTTTCTTGAGGCCGAGGGTGAAGATCTCGAAATTCCCGAGACATCCAGCGCGTATACCATTAAAGGTGTGCTCATTATCTCCCAATTTAAAGCCCCTAGCTCATATTTAGACCAGACACATCCTCCCAGAATCGCTGTAACGTAGACAATTTGACTGATAGAGAAGACGACGATGACGACCTTCCGTCACTTCGTGATATCTTAGACGGGGGTTGGAAACGAAACCCTGATTTCATTGACCTCACAACGGAGGACGACATTGTAGGTACTCTCACTGATCCAAAAGCCCGGATATCTGACTCGCACAGGACCCCAACCTCTCCGTCCCCCGGTTCCCAGCCCCAGTTGTTGGCATTGGTCAAATGCCGGGGTCGCCTACCCTGTCCTCTACGATCGCTCTACCACCGCTCGCGCCATCCACACGACCATTAAGCTCTTCTACGAGCATGGAAAATGCAACTCCTTCAGTATTACAGACACCTAAAGAGAGGCTGTTTAAGAACATACCGCAATGGTCGGCTTTTCAAGACAGACCTTTACAAACTTCAGTCAGAAAATCAGGGCTTCATGGCTGGGACGCTGCTGGATCGATCATCGACCCAGTGAGTGGTTCAGATAGCGACAGCGGCGTTGACGGGGTGGCCATGCAGCGACAGGTATCCCTTCTTCACGAGGACAGCGATGCAGCTGGCAAAGTCTGTCGCGTGGGACCTTCTACACACCCTACAATAACCGAGGACACTACTGTAGGCAGATCGGCATTCGACGTAGGTTCATAACCTCCTACAGTTACTATAGGTTCGTTCGTAATTTCGGAAACGCCGTTAATGACCGAGAAGATACGGTATCCAGTACATCACTCGGTGGTGAGAGTTCTAGGTAAACGGCTGGTTACGGAGCGAGCTCGGTACCTGACTGTATGCTGGATATCCCCAAAAGAAGACGAAGCGGCTGATTCCGATCTTACTCGTCACTTTCGAGAATATGATAAAAAGATCTCGCGTGATCTCGCATAATTTAAGCGTAGGTCGACTCTAAGACCACGGGAATACATTTCGACAGACAACCACCTAAATCTGAGTTAATTTAGGAAGAGGCCTAAAACTCATGCAACTGCCTCCACGCCTCAGAATGTCACCTTTCTCTCTCGCCAAGGAGGAGGCCTGTTCCTTGATTCAGACGTTCATTCGGTAGACCTCCAACTTATCCAGATCGAAGATTTTGTCGTCCGACCGTCTAATTAACGGTCCATTTCCCTAGAGGAATTCCTAGTAGAGTGTTAGACGAGTGGAAGGCGGGTTCACGGATATCACTATTTATAGAAAACTTAGAAACGATACCGGGAAGATACTTATAAGAAAGTGTTACGAACACCCACGTGATACTGGACACTCAGCTTAGGCCACTAACTAAGGAGTCAGGCCGCTAGTCAAGTAGCTAGCTTACCGTATGTATATAGTAAGAGGGGTCATACCTATTAACCTTAAAGCCTTCTTTAAGCGTTAATATCAGACTAGTTAGCTAACTGGAGGGTGAATGTATATACTATAGGATCAATATTAATAGATAACTAGCCTATAGATAGAGATGTTAACGCTTGAAGAAGGCTTTAAGGTTGACAGGTATGACCCCTCTTACTGTATATATACGGTAAGCCAGCTACTTAGCTGGCGGCCTAACTCCTGGGTTGGTAGCCCGAGCCGAATGTCCAGTGTCACGTGGGTGTTCGTGACAGGAACTACTCGCCATTGTAACGATATGCCCTCGGCAAAACTGCTAATTTTTTTGGATTTTTGCTCGCCACTGTATCGGCAGGCTACGTAAGCTGGCTGAATGCAGTTACCAATGCTGGGTCTACTGCAACATCACGCTCACAACGATTACTCCCACCTCCCATACCGACCGTGGCCGTGCCTGTCCATCACAATGCGCCCTCTGGCGTTACTCACTGCGTGTGGCGTGTCGCATTGTGTCCAAGCAAGGACAATATCGCACCCGCACTCGGAGCCAGAAACCCATACGTCTAGGACCGGGGAACAGAATGCCAACCACATTTTCAATGCCATTCATTCTTCCATGCGCCAGTGGGGCTCTTCACTAAACCACAATGGCATGTCCTTTTTCCTGGCCGAGGTACCGGCTGGTATACAATTTTACCACGGCACGATGAATCAAGAACCAGTCGAGGGCATGGAGTGGCTGGCTTTTGAACCCGAACATGCTCTTAATTTTGCCAGGAGGATGGCACCTCCGAGGAAAGACCTTCCACGGCCCCCATACAAGGACGATGGGATTGGATTGTTTTTGCCTAGACACGGGGCGTGCCCGAACAAAGCGGATGAAACGATGGTTTATTCCCGTTGTCCACCACCCTTCCGAGGCAGAGAGACCCGACCCGCCCCGTATAAAAAGGGCCGGCATAGCGATAGGTTTGATGAAAGCACAACCCACCATCACCGCTGGCCGTCCTCCGAAGAGGATCCGGTACAATCATCACCGCGTCCGCACGACGAATATTCTGCCAATCAACGGGCGTGGTCGGGGGAAAGAGGGCGCAGGCAACGCCCTGAGCCAGCCCCAATCGACGATCAACGTAGGGCATATCGGCTTCCATCACCAGAAGGAGAAACAGTATGGCCGGCCCGTCAACAACTATACGGAAGAGAATATCCCCCGCCCCCATTCCATGGTCCACAAAGTCCCCTAATGCGCCTGGACGAAGAAGAAAGTGGTCTCAGAAAGCCACCCCTTCATTCTAAACCAGGCTGGTTACATACATACAAGACAAAGGACATACTGCACCTCCTCTACATTGACGGCACGTCAGCCGGTAAATGCGACAAGGGTACGTTGGATTCTCAGGACATTTTGCTGCTCAACAGCACCCAAGATAGACACGGCGGCATGTTTGGGGAGATTGAACGCGGGAAAAGCCTCTGTAAGTTAGCCAACGAAGCCTGGGGAGGCAAGGTCAAGGGCTTTATCCGCATGGAAGCAGGCTTTGAGATCATTCTATGCTCATTCAAAAACAATCTTGACTTCGTCAGCGCAGCCCGTGCTGGGCTCATTGGTCCAGTCGGAACAGATCCCGATTCAGATGATCACGAATTCCTCAGTAGTATGAAATGGATCAAAGCCGTTGCCGCACGGTACGACAGTATCGGTGGTGGAAGAGTGAAACTCGACTACGAAAACTTTGTCACATGCTATGCGTACGACCTCGACCTGTTCAAAGACGAGAATAGTCTCCCTAGGCTTACAAATCTGTCGACTGCGTCGCTTGACAAGATCCGTCACGACGTCGATTCCATGGTATTGCACTGGAAGCTTCCCACGCGCGACTCAGGCGCAATCGACTGGCAGAGTGTCGCAGATATGGTCATCGAACGATACGGCAAAGCATTGCAATTCTTAGTCTCGGGCGCCCTGAACACACCGGACGCATTTTTCCAAGAGCTGAGCGTTCTTTTGCAGGTCTTTGTTGACTCGGATAATCGCAACATGACCGCAGAGATGGAACGGTGTGTCAGACAATTCGTTCCTACCACAGCCGATGTTTCCGCATCCGTTGCGGCTCGCGCTATTACTTCAGTCACGCATGACATTTGCTCTAGTCTAATCACTGCCTTTGACGTCAAGGTCGCGGTTGCAGAGTCCGTGGAGAACTTGCGACAACTGATGCATTATCTTGGGTGGAGTATTTGGAAAAAGTGCGGTGATTGTCCTCTGGACGAGATTTGCTTCATTCCCATGTGGCCGTTTGGTGCCGTGGAGGATTTTGAACATCCTCAGTGTCGAAGTGCAAAAAATGTCAACGGGCGCATGGGTTATTGGGGTCAACCTGCATTTGGTCCTCCCCGCAAGGGATATGGCTATGAACTTCCACAGACAGAAGTTGTATGATCAAACGGGGGCAGGGGAAAAGGGGGGAACGCGCAAGAAGAGGGCCAAAGGAAACATGCGGCCAAGGCACATGGCAAGAAGGACTAAATACAGAGAACCCCAACCATTACAACTCCTAGATAGGAAGACTCATGCTAGTTCCACAATCTCCCAGAAATTTTCCTTCGGCATCAGGAAAAGAGTATTTCCCTTATTCCTAGAACATCACACTCGAGTGGGTTCAAGCAAAACACTCGGTCAATACCTATCCAACAGTCCATCCAGTCTCAATCTCACACAGCTGCTTAGCTAGTTTTTGCAATGTTTGACGTGATGCTCTAGATTTCTCTCAACGTCCCTGCATGTTAAGATCGGGAAAAGCTGTTTATCAGCATATCTTTAAGCCACCGTTGTATATGGATCTCAGGTGATCATTAGCAGAGGAGGCTACTACTTAGATTCCGAAGGTGTCGGTCGTGCGGTGTCGAATGTTGTGATATGAGGCTCAACCGACTATCATAACATTCAGGAAAGTTTCATAGAATGATTCTGTAAGCTGAGAAATTATAGGGAGGTTTCTAGTATGTCACTTCGATCGATATATACTTCCACTGCTATAATTCACAACATCAAATACTGAGGCTGAAGGGCACGGAATTTTATGGCCCTTTGTCACGAACACCCACGTGACACTGGACACTCGGCTCAGGCCACCAACTAGGGAGTCAGGTGTCAGAGCTGCTTCCTATATGGCCTAACGGAGTTAGGCTTCCTCAGTTACAGTCCTTATATTACATGAGCTGGGTCGAGAGTACGTAAGGTATGAATAGTCATATGACTTCAGAATAGTATAGTAAAGTAGATGTCATAAGTTAGCTACGAGGGAGTGTAACTATAAAAGGGTAATGAGTGTAGCTATATACTTATGAGGTGTATCCCGAATAGGTAGTTAGGAATGGTATATTGATATGTTAATATGGTTCATACCGACATATCATCATATCGTAGTTTTACTCTTTCGGTAGTCACGTGCGGTACGTGACCTAGCCTTGTCCTTCCTCCGTGTCTCCGTCAGGCCGTCCTGTCCGGCAGACCTACCCCTAGGCGCCCCGCGTCTCGGGTCATATGTATGACTGGCAGGGATACTAAGGACGTATAATGACCGTCACGCTAGTCCGAAGGCCTTCGGCCGAGGACTAGCGCCGGTAGAGCCCTATAAATTACTTAAAGGTATATAGTTAGACGGTCCCCAGGACCTAGTAGAATTCACCATGTTCCTCCATTGAGTCACATATGAAGGCCGTTTCTATCACCTGACTCCTTAGTTGGTGGCCTGAGCCGAGTGTCCAGTGTCACGTGGGTGTTCGTGACAACCTGATATCGGAGACCTTCGGTAAAGAATGCGCTAATTCAGGCCCCCGTCAACCAGTACACGTGGATAATAAAGGTAGTTTAAACTCGATACCGCTCGGGGATGAAAATGAGATCATCTCGCGTCCACAAAGTCAGAAGAACACGACTAAGATTACGGTTAGTGAAGTTATGTTTTAGCCGGGTGTTTATTCACGATAATCCCCTCGCGGGTCAAAGTCTGTCGAACCCACTAAGGAGGATATCAGTTAGTCTATCCTTATTAAGCCTGGCTTAGAAAGCAGACTCAATCTCACATTGTATACTTCGCTCCGTTCTTTATCAGTCTCAGTTCCTGTGACGCGAGTAAAGCCGGCGAAGAACCATTCCGCAGCGATATTAATGGAGTCGGCAGTCGGTCTCTTCTTCTCCTTGTCAAGCTGAGGCTTACTTATGTCGATGTAAAATCGAATAAAGTCTTTCACCGTACCAAGGTCGGGGGCGGTCACATTGTGCCCTAGATACTGACGGCGAGCCGTCTCTTCATCGGGAGGGGGTAGGGCTTTCTGGGCGTGGTCTTTCCTCATGGCACTGAGACGCCACCTAGGTGCAGGGTCAAAACGTGGCCGGCGAAGACTGTGGAAGGGGAGAGCGTGAAGGGATAAGGGTAGGTCTTACAGGACGTAGCGTCGGAGGGTAGCATTTTGGTTCTTCTTCGTCTTCGCGACATGCTTATCTCGGCCACAAATTTCGTCGGCCTCTCTGTGTACTCCCCTCTGGTAACCGTTGGCTTCAGCAAGAGCAAGGAGCAGTTCGCCCGCCGTAAGCTCCTGCTGGCTCAGCTGGCCCATGGCGGTGGTGGAGGTGACAGGAGTTTAGAATTTCGTGGTGAGAAATCCGTGACAGTGATGATGGCAGAATCGTCGTTCGAGGAAGACCGTAATTTAGAAGAGCTGGAGGAGCCGGAGGAGGAAGAGGAAATCTGGCAGCCCGGGAGGGCAGGAAGGGGGTTTTTGTACGCCATTGGCGGGCTGGAGGGTCTGTCCAGACGAGAGGACGAGAAAGTGGTCGAAAGTTGAAAAGGCGTCGAAAAGGGACCGCTCGGTGCGCTGCTAATTTCGGGTTCCTGGGCTGGCGCTGGTACGCGGTGGAGCAGGGTCAGGATGAACGGTGAGTGTGAAGGTGAGGGAGGTGAGTGCGAAGGTGAGAGGGAGGGTGAGTCGTTATAAAGGCGGCAGGGTCGGGGTGAGTCGCACGTGAGCTCCGAGCAGTTTTTACTCATCTTTAGCTGCCAAATCCAACGACCACGAAGACCGACTAGTGAATGATGATGAAGTTCTGTAGGCTCTGAAATAGCGTGATGGCATTGTAAAATAACGTTCCTATAGTACCAAGTCCCAATATCCATATGTTCTCGCGACGTTATGGTCAGAACCACACCTTCTCGCTGTTTGCTGAAGGCACGCGGCCGCAGCGTTTGCCATTCTCAGCGCCAGCTACTTCAATTGAGACGCTTGGAGAATGGCCCTTCCGCTGTATACTCCTTCTGAAGCCCAACTGCGAAGCGTTGAAGCCTCCCACGAGACGAATGGAGTCTCTGTGGATGTAGAAGGCGTGAATTCCGAGGAGGGGTTCCACTGAAAATATCTTCGGATTGGCCTAATTGAACGAAGTGGCATCCCCATTCACGCCTTTCAATTCCACGAAGATTCCGCCAATACCCCCCGTCTTCAGGCTAACACCCTCGCCGTCGTGAAGAGCGAGAATGGCACCAACCGGTATCTTGATGCGGTAGAGCTTGAGATTTGAATCCATAACGACACTATAGCACTACTCCTCGAGCTTTTCGAAGGGAATTGTGCTCGATGGTGTCTGCTTTATCGGCGTCGATTTGGTGATTTGTTTCGAAGCAGTCTACCGATGATTTGCGAAGGCTTCCTCGATTTCTGTGGGGTTGGTAGTGGTATGGTCTGGTTGGAGTGGGATGGGCTCTTTCAATGAAATGTTTAGAATATTCGGGCTTTCGTGTTATCAGTGTTACGATCACCTGATCCCGAGCAACAATACCCTTCGATATGAAGGAAGTGCTGAAACTGACGCGGCCGTCAACATAAAACAGGGCATTCTCCTCTGTTTGAACAACATGTCAATCATTTTCCAATAATTGTGCTTATATACTTACCAGTAACTGTGGTCAACGCCACTGTCAAATCTCCTACCTGCGGAAACAAGGACCTTCTCAACTCAGCAGCGGATCCAACATCCAGATATATAATACCGTCACTTTAATCCAGCTGAGGAAAGTTCATACGGACGCTCTCGGTTATTCCAAGCCCTTCACTTTTTGCTCACTCGTTTATCCGTCTAGACGAGTCCTCGACGCGTTCGTAGATGCGGTTGCCGAAAATTAACTGGATAGCATTAATTTAGCTGCGTGATACTTATGCGTTTCGAAAATCTCCTCTTGTAAGCCCTTGCGTGAGAATAATGGTAAGAGCCAAACCTGGAGGAAATATCTTCTCTGATAAGTCAAAGCTTGCTCCTCGATGACGAATGTATCTCGAAGGGACGGGGAATTTCAGCCAGTTCAGTCGTCGGTGATAGAAATCGTGTGCCAGCCGGCGAAGGAGAGGTAGTTGCTCGATGGTAGTAAACCGAGGTGAGGTTAGCGGGTCTATGAAACCCGATTGATCCTCTGACCCGTCGAGAGTCCAAATCCATATAGGCGAGGAATCGGGACGGATGGACAGTTTTGCTGAAGCCAGATGGAGGTGCCAGCCTCGCAACGAAGCTTTTCGTCCGCATTTTCTGGGCCCCCTACCTTATGAGATAAAGATTGGAATACACAGATTGAAGTTGCTATAAATCCACTCTTCTAGTTCTGATACTTTACATAGTTTGACATTTAATCTAAGATGATGCGCAGTGATTGCACGAAGAACGGTCTGGTTTCGATAGAGGTGATTGAAGAATTTGCACCGTCAATCCTACGCCCCGAGTTTGTGCAACACATTCGATTTGTTGTCCTTCACCTCTATATGAGAGATTTGCTTATCAGACAGTTAAAGCTTTGCCGGCTTGATACCACGGGTTACTCCCGTATCGACAGGTGGAGGAAGGGGAAAGCATAACGCAACTAGTGTAGATGATAACCGTGGAATAACCCTACGTAAAAAAGTTCTGACAGTACGTTCAATTCATCAATTGTCTTTCGGTGGAAGGCGGTTGTGGGCATGTTTGTACCTTTTTCCCTTGTGATCAAGGGGTTTGAGAAGGTCGCTGGGAATGCTTCGGCTTTCAATGGCTGGGCGAGACCAACTCATGGGATAAAGAATTTTCCTCATGATCTTTTTGTTGCGGTTCCTGAAAATAACCCCGCTGTGGCTGGGTGTGGCTACCTAGTCCATTTCGATTTACTATTGCACATCTATTTCGCTTTTTACCACCACCAACATCCCAAAGTCTGGGTATTCGAGCCACCGGTCAAAATACCCCGCGGCGACGGGCGTCTTCATGTACCGGTTAATCTCGTCGTAGTTGTCCGGAAGCCACACGGGTTCCCAGCTCAGCGGGCCCGTCATGCCGCCTTGCCGCGCTGCAGCCTCGTGCACGCGCTTCGGCAGATAGTAGTTCCCAAAGTCGACGGGCGGGACCGTGTCGAAGTACAGGTGGACGTGGTACGCGTGCGGGATGTCGGCGAGGGCCAGCGTCTGGCGGACCTCGATCCCGTACCCGTACCCGAGACGGCGCTGTGCGTTGACATGGTCGATGCAGATCATCGGGTCGTCGTCCTCGGGGTGCGGGAGCACGCTGAAGAACCGCCCGCCAGGCCGGAGGTGGTTGGCGATATTGCGGAACATGGCTGTCATGCTGGCCTGATCTGCCGCGTAGTTCAGCAGCCACGCGGCGAAGACGAGGTCGAAGTCTCCGCCGGTACCGTCGCCGTTGCTGTCACTGCCATTGCCACTGGCATTCGCGGAGAACGGCGCGCTACAATCTGCCACCATGAACCTGTACTTGCCAGCATGCTCGGGCAGCCTCGCCGTCTCGGCCTCCGCCATGTCCACCATCCCCTGCGACACGTCGACGCCCACGACGCTCGCGGCGCCCCAGTCCAGCAGGTGCCGCGTGAAGAAGCCCGTCCCGCACGCGAGTTCCAGCACGCGCGCACCCCGGATATACGGCCGGATCAGGCGCTCTACGTTGATGACGATGGCGCGCGAGATGGGCAGGTCGTTGACCGAGTCGTACGCCGCGGAGATGGAATTATACTGCGTCGTGGAGAAGTGGGACATTTTGCTTTCTTGGTATGGGGATCGGGAATTGGGATTGAGCATATCTACAGCACGGAGATCATCGACTTATACGCATGGTATGATAAGGCTGTCAGATTCGCCAAGAAAGAAGCGAAAACGACTTATGCAGCAATGGTCACGGACCATGGATGGACAAGAAAGGATAATCTACAAGTTTATTGAAAACACATGAATTCTGCTGTCCTCTTCAAACTATCAACATGTCCTGCTGTGAGACCTATGGTACAGTGGTCATAATCCGACCACCATTGAATGCGGCCGGCCAGAGCCACAATGGGATCTTGTGCATCACAAACTGACCGTAGGCTTCCTGATGCTGCTTGTGGCGACTACTCCCCTGCTCTTGCAGGTTGTTCCTCATCATCAGTAGGCTTTGGTTCATTAAGTGCATGTCCAGTCGTCACTTGACACGAGAAATGTCCCATTCACTGGACCCTTCACGATCTTGGACTCGTCTGGTGGTCTAACATCTGTTAGCGGATCGCGCTTGAAGGAGCATCGCCTTGGTTCACCAAGCTTCGACAGGTAATTCCGTCCAAGACGTACCTACACGGTGACAGACTCGGCTACATCGGCTACTGATGCCCCCTCTCTGTACAGTCCTAAGAATATCCCGCTTGGGAAAGAGATGGCTTTGTGTACGGACGACGAACAACGGCTTCAGCCATCGCTGTGAAAACACAAAGGCTATCTGACACGACTCGCAGTCGAATTCGCAAGACTGTCCTTCGACGAAGCGCAGCAGAGTAGGACTTACAGCATCGAAACCAAAGGAACTCTTTGACTAGAGAGTGTGGTTTCCTCGACCCACGGGACAAAATGAGCTTTGTCCATACTGCCGGCTGGCTGGGCTGTTGAGTTGATTTCTTTTATCCAGCCTTGATCTCATCGTAGCAGATCGGCTAACGTGCACTACAGCAGCGGAGATTGATATTTCTCTTGGTGGCAATGTCGAGGTACGTGTCGTGGCTGAGCCAAGGCCACTTATCAAACATAATAATACCTCGAACAAATTTTGTAACAATACATTCTCTGCTCAATGTACTGTTATGCGTCATCACATCAAGCACTTCTCGCCGCTATGTACCCCTTGACATTCGGACGCTCGGAAATGGCAGCCTTCAACGCCTTCAGAGTCTCCGGGAGCGAGGCCTGGGAAAGCGTCAACATGGTAGATGGCCGGGGAAAAGCATTGGTGACTCACCGGACCCCAACCGAGCACCTCGTCGTTATCCAGCGCCTGGAAAATGGCAAAGTCGGCGTACGTGACTGTGTTCCCCAGGAGATACGGGCCGGGGTGCTGGGAGTAGAACTTGTCCCAGATCCCGTAGTAAAGAGGGACCGTGGTGGTCTTGTACTCGGGCTTGTTCTCGGACAGGTTGGTCACCCACAGGGCCTGCGTCGGGTTTTAGTTCAGATTCACAGCCATATTGGGGAAATGGCAGAGTCAGCACATACCCTCCAGTCAATGTAAGTGTCGGAAACAGCATCCACCAGCCACTTCTCATAGTTTGTCGTGCCGTCGTAGGCACCCA